TCATTGTTCAGACTATATTAATTTATTAAAATAATTTTATTTTCCATTTTCTTATCTTAAAAAATATATCCATAATTAAGTATAATTAAAAAAAGAAAATATATTCATTCTAATATTATATATAGGGACTCACAAAAATCTAATTATAGTTTTTCAATTACTATTATAATATATCACAACTTTATTCTAAAATATATAATATATAAATTTTGTAATAAATAAAATTTAACCCGTATTGTAGTACGAGTGCTGATCTAGTATCAATACAAAAGAATATTCTGCTATTATCTAAATCTGATTAATATATTTTCCTTTTCGATAAATCTAAGATATTGTATAACAGATGGATCTTTCTTTTCTCTAAATCTCTTTTGACTAAACCCTTCTCCAAGTCGTCGTGGTCCAGTCTTCTCCAATGATCAATCGGAACGGAAGAGTGGCGGTCACACCGTTTCAGGAAGCCATGGAATCTCCGGCCCAACGGATTAGGTGGGAGCTTCTCAGAACTTACGACCATTCGTTTCCCTTGAGTGATTATTCACCTGAAACCAGAGCTTCTTTATTTTCCTCTGATTTGCAAACCCTAGAACATGAGTTTGGAAGATTTGATATCTCCGAAGAAAATAATTGTGTTAATGGGTATGATGCTCGTAGGTCATATAACTATGATTTTCATGAACGTAGTCGTAGTGCTAGTGTCATGGGTTCTCCATATCCTCCCTTCAACGGAAATTTAGTAGACGTTCCTTTTTTTCCAAGTAATCCTTTCTTTGACCAAAGCCCTTGGAGTGATGCATATGGTTATATGTCTGGAATCCGCAATACTCTATTATCGCGTGCTAAAGACCGTATAGAGTCTCGCCTGTTGCAAGATGTGATTGCCAAGGGTTCAAAGGAGACAATTGATAAGATATTTGACAATTTGATCTCAAATGTTTGTGAATTGATGCTTGATCCTTTTGGCCATCGCGTCTTTGAAAAGCTTATGGAGAAATGCACCGATGAACAGATCACTCGGGTTTTGGATATAGTCCTTCAGCAACCTCTTCAATTTGTTAGGCTTTGTGTCGATTCACACGGGTATGCATTATTCTTATGTCCATTTCATTTAGGCTCACTATTACCATTTATGTAACTTGTATTTTGTCTCTTATGTTGGAGATAACAGAACCCGTGCAATACAAGATTTGATGCGAAGTCTTTGTTCTGTAGAGCAAATAGCTCGGTTCATGGCAACACTATGCCATGTTGCACTTCTATTGACCAAAGACGCTAATGCTAATCTTGTGATTTTGTTCTGCTTCAATCACTTTTCTCCTTCACATAGCAGAGTAAGCATCTTTACTTCTTTGTTCCTCAAATATGATTTTATAGCTAATTGAGAATTTCACCGAATTTCTTATAACCAAGATGGTGAATAATTAAATTTCCAACACATTTTATGAATTTTAGATGGCCGGATTCGAACTATGGTTATAATGTCGCGGTTACATAGCTTTCAAAACTTAATTTTGTTGTGTGTGGATATTTGAATACACTACTGGTGGTGAGTAAAAGTGTAACAAAGGCTTTCGAGCTCTCTTGCTTGTGTTACAAGAAAATGAGTAGTGGTAGACCGTAAATTTTATTTTGTAAACCGGTTTGAACTTGTTTATGTTTTTTTACTGATCATTTTTCATCTGTGATCTCTTCTATATTTGACAGTATCTTCTTGAAGTGATTGTTCAAAATTGTTATCAAGTTGCAATTGATCAACATGGATATTGTATGCTTAACCAATGCATTAGACAATCCTCTCGAGAGCTAAGAGACCCTTTGATTAAGGAGATAATCACTAATGTTGTGAGATTATGCAAGAATTGCTACGGGTAAGATAAGATGCTTTTATGATTTGTGCGTTAATTTTTACTCTTACATCAAAATCTAATTTTCTATTGGTCAGAAACTACGTGGTGCAATATGTGTTGGATTTGGAAGATTGTGAGGTTACAAGTGCTCTCTCGAAACATCTTGATGGAAATTACGTGCAACTCTCTTATGACAAGTATGGGAGTCACGTGGTGCAGAAGTGTTTGGAAAATAGAGAATTTTGCTCCAGGAGGATCATAGCCGAGCTGCTAAGTGACATTGATTCTCTTCTTGTAGATCCGTTTGGAAATTATGTGATTCAGACCGCGTGGATTGTATCCGAGGTAAGAGGTTAACATAATGATTCGGAGTCCTTTTATGTGGAATTTTTGTCCACTTATCTTGTTTTTTCGGTGTTTTGTAGGATCATATGCGAAATGTATTGTTGTACCATATAAACAGAAATGTTTCATTCATGAGGTGCAACGTATATGGGAGAAAATTACTCCAGAAACTCAATCTTTGGAGATAGAAGAACATCTGCAAAGAGAAGAGGAGTCCACAATTGATAAATGGTGCTGGTGTTGGTTGGTGTTGTTTTTGTTTTTGTGTGAGTGTTTTTTTTAGTTAATTAGAAAAATAGGCAGGCATTTTTGTCTTAGATTCAACTTTCACTAGTTGAGAACGTGGGATTTCTGTGTATTTTTGTTCTTCATGATTTGCTTCAAATTGTTTTATTGAAGTGCTTTTAACAAATAGTACCTTGTTAGATTCTTAACAGAAAATTGTTCTCAGTAAACTTTATTTTCTGTTAACTTTTAACCAAAAAAAAAAACACAAAATGCAAATGAGATTGGAATACCCGCTCCGAAATCCATCACCATGGTATTTGGGTATGGAAATTAAGCATTCATAATAGGGATGTTGTTCCGTGGAACACATCAACAAGATTAACATAATAAAAGTAATGTTCAAAAGTCTTACTCAGAAAATGTATTTGACAACCCAGTTTCTTGAATTCTTCTTACATCCGTTAGCTTTGCAGAACTTTTTAGGCCGTTGCTTTGATTTTTTTTTTTTTGTTTAAACTTTTTTGTTGCTGCAAATCTGTATATATAATTGTTGTTATAAGTTAAATGATTTGAAAATATCTTGTATCTATATTCTAAGATAAGATACACCGCATGTCAATACCCTATATTCAATGTTATACTATAATTATCATATGACATGTATGATTATCGTATGTCTTGTCTACGAGAATAACGAGATTATGTTTGTAGACGTATTTGTTTGGTAAATTCATAATCCAAGCTCATGTTTTTAAAAGAAAAATAAATTATCGAAATATGTGTGCATTTACCTTAAACGTCTTTTATTTTGATATAGAGGTCCTACATGAAATTTACTTGCTTAAAAACTACAAAAGAAAGAAAAACCTTTCAAGTCACCATTTTTTGCAACTTTATCCTATATACTAGATCATAACCCGTGCTGAAACAGCACATATGAAATTTTAATTTTTAAATATTTATATAAAGTTGGATTATTGTTTGTTTTATAGTACAATTTTGATAATTCTTTACATAATACAATCACATATAAGGATTATTTTATTTTATTTTATTTTGTTTGATGAGAAAATATTAGGGGTGGGGTACGGTTTCTCGGTTTAGTATCATTTTTTCGTTTTGTACAAAGTGAAACCATATAGAAACCGTATGTAATTCGGTTTAGTTACAGTTCGATTTTTACGGTTTTTTTATGTTTTGTTGGTTAAAAATTAAACGTATGTATTTGATATATGCTAGTAGTAAGTGAAAAAAGTTGCGTATATAATAAACATATTTTGGTATATAATAAGATTAAATTCAACCCGTGCGTACCTATATTTTTATTTTAGAATCCCAATGAAAAATTGTGTGCACAATCCATCATTCATTAGTTTCATATATACTTATAGAATCAAAATTTTAAATATTTAGAGGTGTCAAACCTTATTTAACTCATCTCATGATATAATCTTAACATAGTTTCGGTTATAAAGATCATAACTCTTTTTATCATATAATACATTACATTTAACGTGCTGCTTGCTATAATGATTAATAACAAATTAATAAGGTAAGTTAGATATCAAATCTTATATATTCATTTTGATTGGTCATTTAAAAATAAAAATAATAATGTATTTTTCGTTTTTATAATTAAATTAAATTAATTAAATTGTATAAATTGACTTGTTTATCCTTAATGAGATGAATTAATTTACTCTTTGAAATTTTATTTATAATGGTATTCTTAAGTAAATTCTTACAAAAGAGAAGGTTAGTTAAGAGTATCTTATAAAGTGTACTCCCCAAATAATAGTATAGGATTCAAAAAATGCAAGTTAATCTTATGAATTCAAAAATAATTCATAATAACATAGATTCCTACATAGATTTTTATCCTATATTTAAATTTCAATCTACTCGTTTCATATATAGATTCTTTTTTTGAAGAAATTATAAATTATAAGTTTATTTTTTTCTCGAAAGAAAAATCATGTATCCTTGTTTGGACCGGGTGGAGCTTCAACAATACAGGCTCAAACTTTTTACGGACTAGGTCGAACTCAAATATATGCGGGTTTTGCGAGCTTTGGGCCAGTCCGGGCTAACCCGATTGATATACCGAAAAGGAAAAAAAGTTATTTGGTTTGAAGTTATTTGAGAGGAAAAAACACTTATGATAGCTCAACTTTTGTGAGCAATCGAATCGAATCAAAGAGAATATAGAATTATCGACTGCAAAAAAGTAATCAATAAGTAAATAAATGTTGCTTTGCCTATATTTTTCTCCAAATTGTTTTTAGAAAGATATCAAATTAGTTTTAAATTTTTTTAATAGTTTACCAAAAATTTTAAAAGTCAAAGGATATAATAGGATTTTAATTATATCAAAACATATATGACCAATAAAATGAATGCATAGATAGAAAATAGTTTAATTTTCCCTAACTAGAATAGGCAAAATTTAGGTTGAATATCAAAATGAAATCAAATAATCAATCAAAAATAGAATTGCAGTCAACGACTTGATTTGAAATTTTTTCTGATATTTCCTTTTTTTGTTTTTGGCAATTCGTCCCCAAAATTTTAAAAACCCGCCTCTTCAATTTTCGGCTCCCTCTCATAAAAAAACCCACTCTCTCTAGAATCTTCTTCTCTCCATATCTCTCGATTCACGGAAACACCTCCGATCTTCGGAATCGCTCATCGAAATGGCGCGTGACAACCAGCTTCCAGGCGACGGCGACGGTGTATCCACGCCGGAGGAATCCCTCACTTACCGCACGTGCGATACCCCTTCGCACGTGACCTGCGTTTCATCTCCTCCTCTTGATCGCTCCGGCGATGTTGATCCTCTTCCTGTTTCCGGCATCGGGGGACACGAATCTGGTGGCTCAAAGGCCGATGAGTCTATGATTGACACAGATGAGACTAAAAAGAGGAAACGGTTACTCAGTGGTGAGGAAAAGAGTGACGGAGAAATCGCGAGTGTCGATGACGGTGTTGATGTGTTTGCTGCGATTTGTGAAGACTTGAATTGTTCTTTGTGTAATCAATTGCCTGATAGACCCGTTACGGTTCGTTCTCTCTCTCGCCTCTGTATTTTGCCTCTTATGCTTGTTAAAGTTAGGGTCTTTTTTGTGATTGTGTTGTAAATTTGGACATAACTTAGAGTAATCTTATAGAGAGAAATGGTTAGTCAATCAATAATAAAGGCGAATACCCTTTTAGCGGCTCTTTAGGGGAAAATGTGAGTCTCGATGTTGATGTGTTAGTGAAAACATGAATTGTTTTTGCTAGGTTCGTGTGTTGTCTTGGATTCTTTCACCAGTTTTCATATCTTTTTGTGAAACTGTTAAATCTCGAATCTATTTTAGTGTTTCTCCTTATTTGTCGAATCTAATTACAAAGGCATAGACTTTATTTACACTTGAGTTGCTAATTTGGGCAATTTAGCAGTTGAATCTATCTTTTTGCTGTTGTTATATTGCGAAGGCATAGACTTTATTGTGCAAGTGTTTACATTTTGTGATAAACTTTGTATATAAGTCAATTTTTTTCACCTACATTTATAGATAACAGATTTTGCCAAGTTCAGTTATGTACAAGAATGAGATGCCATTATGTAGTTAATACTTGTTTATTTATCCTTTTCTGGTTGGGAGTTATCGTGGTAACAAATCTATTGTATTGTTGAAATTTGTTGATAGTAGTATGTGTGCACTTTTCTTGAAGTTTGATTTATTCTATTTTGGTGTTTCTTTGTTATCCATGTTTGACGAGTTGGTGTTCTTGTCAATGATAAACATTATTGTATATGATTGTTTTTTTTTTTTTTTGAGTATTAACTTCTTCTTTTCAGAATAAGTATTTTTGACAAAGATGAAGACTATTAAAGTAAGGCCGATGGATAATCTTGTATGTGTTTTTTTTTTCAGACACAATGTGGGCACAACTTCTGCTTAAAATGTTTTGAGAAGTGGATTGATCGAGGTAATGAAACGTGTGCAAAATGTCGTAGCCCAATTCCCGATATAATGGCAGGCAATCCTCGTGTTAACTCGTCCCTCGTGCCTGTTATCCGTTATGTAAAAGTTGCTAAAGGTGCTGGTGCTGGAACTGCAAATTTTTTTTCTTTTACAAGCAACCAAGGTGGTCCAGAGAATGCTTTTAGAACCAAGCGCGCAAAAACTGGGAGGGCGAATGCTGCATGTGGAAGGATATATGTTACTGTACCATTTGATCATTTTGGTCCTATACCAGCTGAAAATGATCCTGTTAGGAACCAAGGTGTTTTAGTTGGAGAATCCTGGAAGGATCGAGTAGAGTGTCGGCAGTGGGGGGCTCACTTTGCACATGTTTCTTGCATTGCTGGACAATCAGACTACGGAGCTCAATCTGTAGCAATCTCTGGAGGTTATAAGGATGACGTGGATCATGGAGAATGGTTTCTATTCACAGGAAGGTTTGTTTTTCATTACCCCCTAGCTTTTGGTCCATTTGATCTTCTATAATTTAGTTCTCTCATGTGTTTAGAAGTAGCTATTGTCCAATTTGCTTTCAGACTTTTGTCTCTTTACGTCTTGAAAATATGCAAATACGCGGATGTGTCACACAGGGGAAGGAGAAATTTCAATAACGAGGATCAGGAGTTTGAAGAATTGAATGAAGCTTTAAGAGTTAGTTGCGAAATGGGGTATCCAGTTCGAGTTGTCAGGTTAGCTTTTATTCGAGCAGAACAGAACTCCGTTGCTCTTAAAATTGCTTCCTTGATTGAATAAAGAATAGAGTTATGCTAAGCTTGCTGCAGTTATCCTCCGAATTACCGGGGTGTTCCTTAGATACACCTCATAATTTGAGTTACCTTAAACTAGGTCTTACAAGGAGAAGCATTCTGCATATGCCCCTGAGGAAGGAGTGAGATATGACGGTGTCTACAGGATCGAGAAATGCTGGCGAAAAGCTAGATTCCAGGTACACATATAGTGAAACAACCGTAGTTTTTTCCCTGTTCTTTTTATGCATTGACCTGTAACTGTTCTTCTCATTTCCATAGGATTCCTGTAAGGTCTGTCGTTACCTGTTTGTGAGATGTGACAATGAGCCAGCTCCATGGAACAGGTTCGATCTACGTCTTGAAAGGGCCTTTTCGATATAGTTCTATTTTGAGTCTAATACTGTGATAATATTGCAGTGATGAGAATGGAGATCGTCCAAGACCTTTGCCTGATATCCCAGAGCTTGAAACGGCCACAGACCTGTTTGAGAGAAAGGAAAGTCCATCATGGGATTTTGATGTAAGTTCCAATTATAACAGTTAGCGAGTGAACAGATATCGAATTTTCTTAATTCTTATAATATACGCTTATGAAATCAGGAAGCTGAGGGCCGTTGGAGATGGATGAAGCCTCCACCTGCTAATCATGAGCAGAGGAAGAGAATGAGGATCGCTATGACATGTCTTCTCCTTTTTGTCATGATCATTTTTGTTGGTTCATCATCTATCTTATACCGGGTTTAGAAGAATCACCGGCAAATAACTTGTTCTTTTGGTTTGATGATCCCTTAATTATCTTCTTGTACCAAAACAGTCTTCTCTAGTTCTCTCACTACTCGTCTTGGATACTTGAGGTTCTATGGTATGAGTTGGGACACAATTTTTGTATGCTTTGTTCCGTCAATTTGTCCTGTTTCTTCAACAGGCGCATTGATGTTTTTAAACATAATGATCAACTCTTTATATAAATTACTAGATTTGAACCCGTAGTACACTGCTGGGCTATAATTTTTTTAAAAAAATTCTAAATATAATTAGTTTTGTTTATTAATAGAGAGTATAATATAATATTTCGACCTATTTTATAAATGTCTCATCCATATATCTATATTAATAGTTTTGAGTATATTAATTGTGTTTTAGGTTTAAACTAGATCCTCACCCGCACGTACGTGCGGGGTTTCATATTTTAGGAAAATATTTTTTTTTAAATAATGGGTTTTAAAATATATTATGTATTTACTTTTGTGTTTGTAAAAATTATAATATATATATATTAAGTGAGATTATTTTGTTGGTTTTTTATAGAAAATTTGCAACTGACATTTATTATCTGTCTGATTCATTACAATTTTAGAGTAATTGTTTATTTTAAATATTTGTATGTGTTTGTTTGAAAAAACTAAAACTGGTTACAGTGATCAAAAGATAATTTTTACATTTAAAAAGACATGTGTAATAGTTAGAATAGGTAAATTTTTATTTTGAAAGAAACTTAAATTCATATAAATTGTATTTGTATAATAACTATATGTTAATGTTGTTGTTTATTAAATTTTATTACAAAATTCGGAAATCCTCTAAAACCATATGCTAATTAATGGCCCAAATATTTTTTCCGATCTAGTTTTAATGGGCTTTTAAAATATTGTATTAGGCCCAATCGTGATATCGTGAAGCCATTTAGTGTTCCATTTGTTTTTTTTTGTATTTACCGTAATACTGCATATTAATGTATTTGGATTTGTTGTAAACAACTCGTTGTCTTATACAGAAAAAAAAAAAAAAATCACCGAACAAAACGAAGATCATCGATCGATCTCCAGAATCAAATGCGATATTCTCATAAGAACATCATTACTTCGTCTTCTATTATACCTCTGGTGGCTTTCAATTCGTGAATTCTACGAAGAGATAATCTTTTTATTAAATCAAATTTACCTTTCTACAGTTTTTGCACATGTCGGTTCAATCTTCAATCTTTAAAATTTTCTGTTTTAATCGTATAGAACCGCCAAGGATTGTCAAGAAGCCGGATCTTATATGGGTAATCTATATTTCTTAAGGCTGATTCGAAATTAGGTTTTGATAGATTTTTTTAGGTTTTTATACCGAATTTGATTTACTGTGGTTTTGAATCGTTATATAGAGTAGCTCTGTAAATATTTAATTTCGAGTATCCGTAGCTTTTTTTAGTTTGAAAGGAAAAAATTGAGAATATTTTGTGTATACTGTGTTTTGAATTTTTAATTTTTTAGTTTGTGTATTCAGGTGAAGGATGATTAGCAAGTAATTTCAAACAATGGAGGAGACAATGGGATTTTGTCGCAGCTTTTCAGAAATATATGTGTCAAAGGTTAGTAATTCCTTCTTGCAGATTTTTGATTCTTTAAGAATGTCTTCTTGGATTGCAACTGCTAATCCATCAGGTGGTAAACTAAAAAGAGTATAAAGCATATGTTAATTTAGTACTATACCTCTTTCAAAATAACTTATAGGGCATAAATAAATATTTAGTTTACATAAGTAGCAACAAACTCTTTGATTTCTAGCAAAGACATTTCAAAGACATTTGAAATTGATCTTTCACCTGTTAAAAGTAAGGTGAGTTAGTATAACTATAGAAGAATAGAAACTCAATCGTAGTATAGATTAACTTTTAAGTACCTTTAAAGGTATTGCACTTAGCAAGTCGAATCAAGCATATAACCTTGACATTGCCTACAGTCTCACATGCATTCCACATGGTTTCAGCAAATCGTTTCCAAAGAGTACTTGTCAATTGGTCATCACTACAAACAAAGATTTTTTCATTAATCAACTATTTCAAACTTTCAAGATAGTCGAAATAGGGTGGTGATAAAAGAAATAGATCGAATACCTGGAGTCTCGCAGTTCATACTCAAGTTCCTTAGTAGCCTTGTTAGCTACATCCAAAGTGTTCATCTCTCCCAAACTCACGACCTGGCCAATTACATCTTAAATAACATATGAGCATCTTAGATAGATTATAAGAGAAATTAGATTATATGCAAGATAAAGCTATAACTAAAAATATATACCTATCAAGATATTCTCATTCAATCCTGATTCATTCAAAATATCTTGAAAGTTTGCAAAATCGAAGAGCATATCATCTGAAAGAGAAGAACACCTAGTGATAATAGTCTGTTCATGAGGGACATATTGAATCCATGTTTGGTAGCTTTGTACTTTCCCAGAGATTTTGAGAGAGTAAAATTTTCAATAAATCTCCACTCTCCAGACTTGATAAACGTTGTTCATCTGTTGTTTCTTTATAGTAGCATGAATCAATGTACCCTACAAAATTCACATTTGTAGTAAACAAAACAATACTACTTTTTAAATATGAAAGGTTTGAAGTTAGGAAGTTAAAATACTTACAGAAACATCAGCAAGAATCATTTCCATTCACTTATTTTCCACATTGTTTAAAAAGAATGTCACGTTAGCAAGTGGTGATAGGAAAATTTGCAGCCTTTTTTTTGACGAAAAAAAGAAGAAGAAATGAAGTTAAGATTTGAAAGATTGTGTGTTGTGAAAGTGGATTACCGAGTTTACTATATATATTATTAACAGATACAACTCTCACTTTTAGGGTTTAATTTTGTGAATATGGAAATATATTTGTGTAACCGTATTTCTTAGAATCATTAATCGAATATGCTTGAAATATTTTGTGCTTTTGAAATTAGGGAAATATAATAACTGAGATTATAGATCTTATTGAAAACAGTTGCTATAAAATTGGTTGTGTTCCGTATATTTGGGGATTTAATTTGTTGATTAAATTTGCAACTTTCTTAAAAACAGTTTTGCGAATATTTGTATATTTATTGATTTCAACTGATTTTTTTTGGCAATTATTTCTGTTGATTGTTTTGGCAACTTTTTTAATGATTTTTGCAATTATTTTCTGTAACAGCACTGGAGAATATCAGAGTAAAATCTTAATGATTTGTTAACCCAAACGGATCGAATCGAGGATCCGCGTCGGGACCGTATAACGCTGGATAGGATCCGCGTCTTTATCCGAAAAGCAAACCAGGATCCGCGTTATGTACCCTATCAATTTGTCCAATTTAACCTTATCCGAATTTTTTAATTTATTCTTTAACTACAAAAATACCAATGGCATTCTTCGTAATATTCTACAAACTAAAGGTTATTTTATATTTAGTGATTCCCAATTAATAGTATAGATGGTATATCTATATATACACTTAAACGACATTTGTCTTTCTTCTTCTTCTTGCCTCAGTTTAGGAGAAAGATTTTTCTTGCGGTACACCGCGGAACTATTATTTTTTAAAAAAATTTTTTCTTCCTTAAACTTCCAAATCTAGATTTTACCCCACGGTACACCGCGGGTCGATTTTTTTATAACTAAAAAATTATTTTGCAAAATTTTAAGTTGTATTTGTTTTGTTAATATTGTTTATTTTGTTTAGTGTTTCTGATTTTATAATTAAATTTTGATTTTTAATTCTAGGATTTCATCCATAGTATATTGTTTAATATTAATATTGATCTAAACCCGTTGCACCATATAACCCAGTCCCGTAAAATTAAACATCATTTGTTATTTTTTTTGAATAATATTTTTATCCACTACGGGTCGCAGGTTCATGCGGATAAGCTCGTAGAGAGTTGCGGGTTTGCGGGTCGACCCGCCAAAAGAGAAGCTATCTTTTGAAACCCTTTGTTTTGTTTAGAGGTTTTAAGAAAATATCCCTAAAAAATAATTTTCATTATATGAAAAAAAAGAAGTAGAAGAAATTGTAGTATCAACATTCCCGATTTTTATATCACTCGTTACAATTAATTTTTTTTTGCAGATAAAAATCAGAAGTTAACTAAGTCGAGATTTTTAAAAAGATTGTGTATAGATTTTTGGTAAATTGTTGAGAACATATTTGATTTCAAAATCTTTACTTAAATAGATAAGGAAAGATTTTGTAGAGACTTTTGCTAAATATATGAGAAATGAATTTCAATTAAAAATATTTACTTAAATAAAATAAATCTAAATAATTAATGCTAATGGCATGTCATTGTAAATACTTCTCAACTTCAGGATTTATTTGCTAATTGTGATCCAAAAATGTATATATAGATGTTATTCGGTGAAGTTTTTATTTTTTTTGACCAAATATGAGACTGTATAACCATGTTAAGGAATGTCCAGTTTCTTATAGCCAAACAAGAGTTAGTTACATTTATACTATATCATGCTGATAACAGTATTTGATTGTTCGGTAGGATTTGGTTTTAGTTGGAAATCGAATTATGAACCCATACTTATTCTTTAAGACCAAAAGAATCTTTCAAAGATTATTCTTTAAGCACGCCAAGTTTATTTTCGGAATAATTAGATTGTATGTCCTAAATTATATTAGAAATTTGAAATGTATACTAAAATTTTAAAAATTCGATATGAATCTTCTTCTTTTTCTAAAAAGACATTTTTGTCCTTAATTAATAACCGAAAATTCCAAAAACGAAAATAAAATAATTTGATTAGTTAGTTTTTACAAATATTATTTAAAATTCAAAATTAAACTTCATATTAAAAAATTATATATTCAAAAAATTTATTATTATTTTGTGAAAATCTTAGATAATAATGAAACTAAAACTAATAATCATGATATAAACGGTGACTTTTAATTATATAATAAATTATCAAGATTTTGGGTTGATGTAGTAAATATTTTGGATAATGTTTGGTTTAATATTAACTACGAATTTTAATTATATATAATTCAAAAATATGTTTTAGATTTTTCATAGTTAATATTTTTGAGATATATATATATATTAGAAATGATATGTTGCTTAGTTGGATAAACCTTCAATGATATATTGCTTAGTTGGGTTAGATAGATTCTTATATTGAAGCAATTTTAACAAGTTGAATTTTGTGAAATGTGAAGGTTTTTCAATTTTAGGAGCTGCTCTTGCTTAGAGAGCAGTTAAAGAATCTATCTATAGGATGGTAAATGGGACACCAATGACACAAGACAATCAACCTGCAGTATCTTCTTTCATGTCTAATGAAAGTGCAGAAACATTAGCTCTTGGATTATGTGAAATGCGTGGAGCTGCTCTTAAATTTGGGAAAATATTGAGTATACATGATGAGGGTCTTGTTCCTGCTCTGGTAAATAGCAAATCCGAACCATTATCGTTTTGTGGAAGCTGAAGCTGTGTGGAAATAGTTTTGGGATTAAAGAGATTGTTGAGTAGAGGAAGATGAGGAAAATATTTGTTAAGAGTAAGATAAGTTCGTCGTCGTCATAGATTTCAATCGTCAGCTCCTTCGGCTTGTAGCTTGCAGGTTTTCCACAGGTAGAGTCTGCAGCTAATGCTTCGTCAAGAGTTTGCTACAATTTTCCATCGACACGCAAATTACAAATCCAAAATTGGCTACTTAGATGCTGGTTTCAGAAATTTAGGTAGACCTTCCTAAACTTCAGGGACGTCTTCCTTAACATTATGAAATTCTTCCTAAATTTTAAGAATGTGTTTTTGAATCTCTTTATTTATGTTTTGTAATGTATCAAAGATTACTCCATCAGTGAAGCGTAATGTACATACAATTTACAAATCCAAAGTTGGCCACATAGAGGTTGTTTTCAGAAATTTAGGTAGACCTTCATAAACTTCAATGATGGCTTCCTAAACATTCTGAAATCCTTCCTAAATTTTTAAAAATGTGTTTTTGAATCTCTTTGTTTATGTTTTGTCAAATGTATCACATATTACTCCATTAGTGAGGGGTAATGTATCACAAACTCATCTATGTCCCAACTTTAGGAAGGCAAGCTACTGTGAAGTTATAAAATCTCCTTTTATGTCATAATGTGTTTCGTGTTTCATAGAAATATATACGTTCGTTTGTACAAGATCTTATAATTAGAAGCTTGGCTCACTGGTTACATGTTTTATTACAAAATCAATAGGTCCTGGTTTTAATCATGGTGGAACTAACTATTACAGTTTTTTGTTTAGGGAAGTCCTTCCTGAATTTCAAAAATTGTTTACTTTTGCATAGTATGCCTCGTATTAATCACAAATTACACATTTTTTGAGGGTCAATGATCTATAAAATATCTTTTTTTTTATCATGATGTGTTTCGTGTTTCATAGAAATATATACGTTCGTTTGTACAAGATCTTACAATTAGACGCTTGGCTCACTGGTTACATGTTCAATTACAAAAACAATAGGTCCCAGTTTTGAATCCTGGTGGAAGTAACTATTACAGTTTTTTTTTTTTTTTAGGGAAGACCTTCCTGAATTTAAAAAAATTGTTTACTGTTGCATAGTTTGCCTCAAATCTTTCACAAATTACACATTTAAGATGCAAAGGATATGCTGAGAGCATTATGTTGTTAAAAAACCACAATTTTTTCAAATAATGAAATGTGCTTTTCATCTCGGATTCCCATTTACCCGAATCACCAGTTAGTTCAACAAATTTTTCTTCGATCCTTCGTTTACCAGCAGCTAATGGTACCCTAATCGTATAGTCTTCCGCTTTTAATTCAGCGATTACAAGCTCTAGAAAAATTCGAGTTGTTCTAGACGTCCATTTATGCTAACCACATTTTAAAATTTTAAATAATCACAATTATATTTTAAGAAATATATATAGATAAAACTATAAAATGATATAAAGAAAATATTAATAAACATACATTGCGTCTTGTACCGCTTGCACTTCTACTTGATGTTCCTTCACCAGCATTCGATCGTCCTCTACCGACTGTTCCGCGACGACCTCTACTACGTGTTTTATCTGACATGCTAGTCATCTTCATAATATATAATAAAATTAGTAAGATCTAAAATCATTAGTTAAACAATTTCTACTTAAAAATTACTTGAATCTTTCCATATTATAGAAATTGTACTACTTAAAATATAAAACACTTAAAAATATTCTAATCAAAACAATTTTTAATTTTTTTTTTGGCATCGAACGTTCTTAATATATATAAATATATATATTATTCCAACAAAATTATTAATTATATAAAATAAATAAAATTTTAAGATATATATAATTTGACTCATTCAAAATAAGTGCTAACAATAAAAACAAAAATTTCCTTAATTAGTGCTACAAAAATAATTAATTAAAATAAATTATAGAAATGAAATATAACATAAATAAATTCATAATACATGTGATGGATAAGAAATTGAAAAGTACCTTCAATATTGAGTTATAAAAATTCTAGAATTAAATATTATTGAAAACATTTAACAAAAAAAAAAATTCTCAAGATTGTTTTTGAGGGGATAGAACGTTTGTAATTGGGTGTGTAAACTATGAGAACAAAGTACTCCTATTTATAAGCAATATACATTTCTCTCGTTTTCCTCCACTGGTTTTATAATAAATTATTAAAAGTTGATTTATCACTTTGAAAAGTGTGCCTCTTATCTATATGATATTGTTCCACTTGCTTTTTAGCGGATGACTGATTTATGCTGGTTTTTGTTTTTTGGAAGAATTATTTCTTTTTCACTGTTTTGTTTTTCTTCGTGACTCGTAAAAAGAAAATATATCTAGGAAGATTTTTTTGTTTAATGATTTCTTTACTTCTAAAAAAGTCATCCAGTCATACCCTTTCTATAAGTTGTTTCATAGTAAACCCTAAGAAATTGTCTACAAGTCGTCATAACAAATTAAGATGGAGAATGAGAGCTCGGCCGCCAAAGTATATACCACCACCTCAAAGGTCGTTGTCGTTGCCGTATCAAACAAGAAAATCAAAGAAGAGCATAATATTCAACATTATATACTTTCTTTTAGAGATAAGTTATAAAATAGTCAGAAAATCGGTCATTTATACCCGACTTAAACTCAAGTGTTCAATTCATACTTAACATTTTTTTAAGTACTAATATATACCTAACTTTTTAACAAATTCAAATTTCATACTCGAATTTACCAAATCATGCAAAATTATACATTATGCTGATATGGATGCCACGTATTTGATGATGTTGATGACGTAGTTGCCACGTCCTTGATGACATCGTTGCCATGGCATCATTACCTTTGAAAAAAAATATCTTCATCATCAATATTATTCTACGAAACTGTAAAAGAATTATTTGTTTGATGTAAAGATTTATATACTTCCTTTCGATACTTATAACCATTATTTAAATCAAATCTAATATTT